ATCGTGATCTCATTGTTCATAATTTTACAGTTTTCGGGCATTTTTGCAATGACACCATATTTACAGCAAATTTTCAAAGCCTATCAAAGTCCAATTGCTCCCAAAGTAGCCACATCAATTGTTAGTGTTATGAATGTCTTTGCGACGATAACATTCCTTTGTTTAGTACGATTCGTTGGGAAACGTCGAATGTACTTAACCGTTTTGTCAGGAGTTTGCATTAGCTCATTCGTTATCTCAGTTTATGGCATCATTCTTTTGCCAAGTGATTACAATTCATTTAATAAAGAAAATAACGTACCGGAGTTGAATGGAAGTTGGCTCGTTTATATTCCAACAGTAAGTTTTGAAGCATTTTCTTGATCGATGTTTTTTCATTGAATATTTGGCTTTCCATTAGTTTTTCTTAATTATTTGGAACTATTGTTCGTACTGTGGAATTCTGATGATGCCCTGGATGTTCTTGAGTGAATTGTTTCCATTCAAGTAAGCTCATGTTTAGCTTTTTCGTAATCACATACCTACAATATTTGTTGGAATGAAAAGACTACAATGTATTTTATTAACCCTTACAGAAGCCGAGGAGCAGCAGCCGGTTTGTCAGCAGCGATAAATTACATTGTAATTGAAATAACTATATAACAAGTGATTAATTTGATTTCAAAGTTTTATTTTTTTCTCTCATTATAATTTGTAGATGGGATTCGTTACAATTAAAACATATATTAATTTAGAAAAAGCATTGTCAATGCAAGGTATTGCAATGTTTTATTGCGTGATCGCAACTCTTGGACTCATTTTGATGTACAATATTATGCCGGAGACAGAAAATCGATCGCTCGAAGCCATTGAGTTACACTTTTCGGATAGCAGCAAGAAAATTACAGATTGGTACATTCCGCATGAAGATGAAGTGAGAAAAAGTAACAAATAAGAAATGTATTTCAGATTGAAATGTTTTATGAGACTAAAAGATTTGTTTAAACCTATATTCATATAGAAAAGAAATAAAAAAAAAACAAAGTGTTGATTGATTTAGCTTTTGTTGTTACCAAAGGAAAAATTACCGGATAGTTTCATTGACTTCGAATTTCGAATCTCATTTCCCCTTCATTTGACAGTTCCCCTTCATTTCATTAGTAGTATTTCATTTACATCTGAATAAAGTGTTTAAAAAAATGGACTTCCCAAATAAAAAGCTTGAACTTTCCTGTGGGTTTTTAGTATTAGACAGCTTCAATAAATTTTTCTATTGTTGTAATCAGTGTGAATACGAGTCGGATTCAATATCACAATTACAAGAGCATATTTTATCAGAGCAACAAATAAAAGTTGAGCAAATAACTGATGAGTCAAGTATATGGGTGACTCAATTAATTGCAAACGATTCACTTGAGTCTAATTTTAAAAATTCCACAATTCATAATGATGAAATTGTCAATTTGAATGCATTTTTCACCGATGATTCGACCGAAGCACATGGTGTCAAACCAAAGGTAAAAGCACAACGTGCACAATCAAAGGTAGACCACGTCGCGGTGAATGACTGTGAGATGTTCCATTGTGGAATTTGTCTGCCTGGTTTGTCCACCTGTTCGAGCAAAGAACGTTTAAGGCAGCACATGCGAAGACATATTCAGCAAAAACTCCAAAAACCATGGGAAATTTGTAAAAAAACGCGTTAAAAATTATGAAAAACATATGAAATTGAACCACGAAGAACGAAGACAGTATTCATGAGAAGTGTGCGGAGCAACATTCACTCAGAATGTTCACAAGAAAATTCATATGCGATCTCATACAGGCGAACGGTACTCTATACCTGCATTAATACTAATTGTCATTTTTTCATCAATTTGAGTCATTTTTAATTGCACACCTTTTAAACTTGCACTTTTTGTCATACTGCTATTGATTGAAATTTTGATTCGATTAGGCCATTTATTTGTGCCACATGTGGAAAAGACTTTAAGTGCCAAAGCACCAGAAATATAACAAACATAAAATGAATCATCTGAAGTAGAAACCGTATCCATGTTCGCAATTCGATCGCTCATTTCCAACACCATACATGCTCAGAGAACACACTTACTCGTTGCATTCGAATGAGAGAAACTATGAGTGCGATATTTGCGGCAATCGATTCAAAACCCGAAAGTATTTGAGACAGCATAAAAGTAACCACGGCTTGAAAATTCATCAGGTAAATTATTTTGAGAAAAGCTTTTTTATTCAAAATACCGAAATACCGTTTTTTGCGACTAATGGTTTTTTTTTTCATATTCAAGTGTCGATTCTGTGACTCAAAATTTACCACAACAACCATTAGGCGAGGGTATGAGAAACAAGTCCATAAAGCGATTTGAAGGAAAAAATAAAGAGGCTTACGTACGCAAGCTGACTTTTCCGCATGGAACCGAAATTTTGGGAATAAACAGAAATTATGTTCTATGTATGGTTGCAGTAACTTAAATTACCGTGAAAACTTGTGAATATTATTTTCTTATCAAAGTAAATAATCACACCAAGTTTAAAGCAATTTCAATCAAAAAAATTGCCT